CCAGCATCTGCAGTTCCTACTATCTCTGATACAATTTTAACTCCAAACTCCACTTTGGCAAGGGGTTACCAGGAGGGCAGAGAAAATTCCTCACGTACATAGAATCATAGAATCCCTACAGTGTCCCTGGACACTATGGGCAATTTAGCATCGCCAATCCACCTAATCTGCACATCTTTGGACTGTGCTTTAAACTGCTTGTTCACACTGGTTGGTATTGAAACCTTGCAGGTTTGGTCACTGTCACTAGCAGTTGCTCTGGGCTGAATCAGACAAGTCAGTGGTGCAACATGCACCTGGCTGAAACCCACACAGACACTGGAAGAATGTGCAAACTCCATACAAACAGTTGCCTGATGGTGGTATTGAACTCAGGTCCCTGGCACTGTGAGGCAGCAGTGCTAACCACTGAGCCACCGTGCCGCCTGGAAAGACATCCTGAAAGCCTTCCTGAAAAGATGTAATTTAGTTACTGGTTCATGGGAATCTACTGCCCAAGACTGCCCAAGCTACAGCCTGGGCATCTGTGCAGGTGCCAACCATCTTGATGACCTCTGAAATGCCCATGTGAAGGCCAAATGCAAACAGCAGAAGAAACATACAAAACTCCAAACATCCCATTCACCTGGCTCTCCAAACACAATGTGCAGATCCAGCATCGAACTGGTTGGTGTCCTCAGGACCCACGGTTCCGGAGTTGAAGAAACTCGTTCTTGACCTCAAGGGGCTTCCTAAGAACAAGAGTAATGGTCCCAGTTCTGTTTCCTCCTGTGCCCCAAGTGAGGATTTGAATGAATGGCATTTCAAGTCCTAAAGTAATAATTTTAATCTTGGGCAACTATGCAATTGTGGAATCACAACAATCACATGACAGCACGCTGCAGTCTTGGGTTTTATTTAATATGGTATCTAGTGTGATGGATCTGCTTATTAAATGAAAAGGTTTAGCTGAGAAGTAGGCACAGGCCACAAGAGTGAAAAAGATAACAATGTTTGGTGATAAATGCCTTACACCTCCAGTTAGGCAAGGGACACTCAGAGGTCAGGAAGCTGCACCACAATCTCCCCAACTCATGTTATAACTGTCCGGTTAAGCATACTTCCAAGGGTGTTGAAAATATTAAAATAGCTAATACCATCTTATTCGATGATGTAAAGCAGATTAAGGTAGTAAACCACAGTATGTTGTACCACCGACTTGTCTGAATCAGCACAGAGCAACTGGTGGGAATGGCTTCTGCACTACAATATGGACAACTGTTACCAGGTGAAATAGAGCATGAGACAGTGCACTAGTGACAGAAGCTGCAAGCTTTCAGTACCAACCACTGCGAATAAGCAGCTTAAACACCAGTTTATTGAGACTAGCCATAAAGAAATGCAGGCTCTGGACTGACAATCACATGCCTTGATCTGCCAAAACTGACCAAACCGCAATGCGAACTTTAACTTGGGAAATAAGAGTTCCTCTGAGGAGACAGCAATGGGCCAATCCTGAACTACCTTACCTGTGGTCCAAAGGATTCTATAGCCAAATTAAACATCTCTCTAATTTGGAGATGGATACAGAATAAAAAGGAAGAGCAGAAATAGAGTTATACAGCACAGAAACAGACCTTTTGGTCCAACTCATCCACGGCAACCAGACACCCCAATCTGAACTAGCCCCAAATGTCAGTATTTGGCCCATATCCTTCTAAACCTTTCCTATTTATGTACTCATCCAGATGCTGAAGTAAATGAGAGTAGGAATAGGTGCACTACTGGCAGACATCAGAAATGTGGTAAAAGGTGTCCTGGTCTAACTTCATGATCAAAAGCTTGGCAATATTCAGCACATTAAGCTAAGCCATTACAAATGGGCAATTTAATGGGGTTCATGAGGAGTGAAACAGATGACACATTGAACAGCATCTATCTATCAGACTGCGACATTTCTTCATTATGTGATGCCAGTTGGGGACAAGAATTGTGCTGTAAAAATAATTTTGTTAAAATGACAAAGACGGTCTCAGAGCAAAGAGCTGCAAAGAGATACAAAGAGATAACTTCCCTGTTAATAAGTCTGCAATTATGACAAATCCAGCAGGAATTTTGTAACTGGTTTAATGTCTCTAAATCTCAATTAACACTTTCCTGTCTACATCAGTGAGAAAACACTTCATCAGCCTGAGCTAGAAAGTCTCAATTAGTAGTTTTAAATAAACAGACAAATGTTATTTTAAAAGAATGGATTTATGATAATGTTGCGTGAGAAAAAAAGGGGTGCAGAAAACAGTATTTTGGGGTTGGAAAGCACAGAGGGCAGAATGGAACAGAGACAATATGCCAGATTGTGCTCTTCCCAGTCAGGACCATTCTGTGTTAAGAGGGCAGCGAGACTGATATGTAGAGATAAAGAGGGCAATAGGGAAATGGAAGAGGGAGGAAGGAAGCAATCAAGTGAATCTAAAAAAAGACAGCTTCAGGACAAAGACACACAAACATCATGGGATGGAAAAACTGACAAAGGGGCAGGGGTGAACAGAGAGGTACTCTCATTCAATCAGAAAAACAAATTATGCCATAAAAAGCAGAATTTGGAACACTAAGGTAGAAAGAATTAAGGAAAGACAGACAACTTGACAATCAAACAAACATCAAGGAAAAGCTGCAGGGTACCGCACAACAGCACTGCAATAGTAGCAAGGATAGCAGAAGCAAACGACGAAAATAAACATTTGCAACACATGGACAGAAAAATCAGGCACAGCAATACATATATTTATTGATACTCAAAGATCAAGCCACATACAAAGAAACATGAAAATGACTGGGGGAATGGCATAAGGATAGGGTGACCAGACTTTCTAAAATCAAAATCGGGACACATTGAAAACTCATAGGAAAACAAGGCTCCACAACAATTGACGTTTGGTTGTCCTGAGTCGGGGAGAGAAGCAGTTGGCAGTCAGTGGTCATGTGCAGATCTCTGCTGGAATACGTCCAGCCAAAGCTGGCAACATTACTCTGCAGATCATTTAAAAGCTGTCATCACCGATTAG